AAAAAAAGCACATGTCATGGAAATGTGCACCATCAGAAAGCTAGGTCAGTGGCAAAGGGTTACACACAAAAATAGGGCGAGAATATAAGGCTTTTGCACCTGCAGTTAAACCCGCCAGCATCAGATTGCTATTGAATGTACCAGCATTTTGGAAATCACACATGAAGCTTTTCTGCATGGTGATCTGAAAGAGGAGATTGACCTGTGCCAACCACCAGATTTGAGCATTACGGTGCACAATTAGCACATGGAGCAGGTGAGGAGGGGAACGTTGGATACTTCATCCCCATCCACCAAAGTGTTTCTTTAATGGTGGCGGGGGTGTCCTCTTTCCACCCCTATCTGCTGCCCTGAGGCACCTAAAAGGGTTACAGCTGGAATAACCAACGGCCACTCCCTCTGGGACTGCCTGTGTTGTTTCCAAAGTCTCTGGAAATTTCTGTGCCTTTTGGTTATCAGTAGAGATAGTGCACTTTGTTACCTGCTGTTTACGTCTCTCTCACCCCCTGCTTTTGCCTGCCTTTTATTCTGCTTTGCCAGTTGTTTTAGAGGTTTTGCTGATGTTTAATAAATAAACATCAACCTATATTTTTGTGAGCTAATCTGAATGTTGCATATGATCTGGGACTACACCGGGTGCAAACTAAACTGGAAATTACCCACAGTAATGTTCCAACACAGGTGGACATCACAACACATCTGTGGTGTTAGATGTATCATTCCCAGAATTTCAGTTTGCATTATATTTTCACATATTTTTCTTTTCTAGAAAAGTTCACAATTTCTACATTTTAGGCATAAAGACAGTAAACTGGATAACACTAAGTTATCAGACAGTAACAAAATTCAGACTTTTCCTGAGCAGAAAATTTTTCTATATTTGTATGAAGCAAAGTACTTTAAACATAGAGTGGATTCCACCTATGATTGGAAGGTTGATTTCCAAATTGGTAGGAGTTGGACTAGTAGAGAATATTAGAGGTTGCTCTGAATTCTGTTTTTAAGAAAGATAAGATAAGGGGAGAGAGGAAAACTGCAAGAAGCCAGAGGATACTGTATTCCAGGATGGGAGGTCACATAACAGAATTATAGAAAGACAATCACACTCTGATTGTAAAAATAGCCACATTGTGGCTTCACGCATCATGCTAGGGGATGGATATGTGGTTAGATTGTTTGAAGTAAATGAATCTGTTGCCCTACAAAACAAGGGACAATGGGGAAAACTAGATTTTCTGAGTTCCTGCCACTGGCAGTGACAATGTAAAAAACAACCTTTTATAGTCTCTACTTCAGACTAATGGGCCAAGAGGCTACATAAAAATACTTTTACTGTATCATAGAATCAATACCACTGCTATGGCAACCTAGCCTTTGTTATTGTGCATCAGTAATATGTACCCTCTCTAGATATGCTGCATAAACCCTATCTACCTTTCACAACTGTGAAATCAGTCTGTTGTTTAGCTGCAGAAATATAAAGATCCTGCTACAGCACTGCTGCATTGTGTATTGTTTCCATCTGTGTCTAACTAATTTAAGGTTAATCCTCAGACTGTCTAGTTACTTTGCAAAGTATTTCTCCATTTCATACTTTTCTGTTGTCTTCAACCTGTGGCTGAGGCATGTTTTTATTCCGTCTTTTTTTGTGTAAAAACACAAGAGGCATCTCTTTGAATGAAAAACATGGGCTTTCTGGTGGTGGTCCCTACACTTGGGAACTCTGCTGTGAGAGAGGCTGAATGGGCAATTTCATTGTAATCAGGTCAGCTCTAGGCCGAAGCTTTTTTGCATTAAAATCATTTTTCATCACCTTGTCTTAGCAGCTCCCTGCTACAGTACTGTTTTATCATGTGAAGTTCTGGGTGACAGTTGAATGACATTAAGTTAAGCAGATCTGGGTTGAAATCCTTCCCCCATCGTACATGCAGATAGACAGACACACATGCCATGACATTTATCACATTATTGTGATAAGTTTCCCAGCCTAACCTCCCTCACAGGCATGTTGGGAAGATAAACAGGAGCCATCTCTGTTTAGTAAAGGAGGAATGCAACTCACTGGTCTGTTTTAAGTATTGGTATGCCCTCTAAACCTTAAATTTGGTAGAAGGGCATGTTTTAATTGTTTCCGCCATTACTATATTAAGGATTGGAGACCATAATATTTAGGTTCACATGGAAGCAAAAAGCAGGAAGAAGGGGTGCTTGCAATGCAAGAAGCACTTCTGAATCTTTTTAAAGCATTCACGCCCCTTTTAGTAACCAGCATTGGTTACTAAAACAAGTAGAATGTCATTAAATGGTTTAGATATGATACTGTGCCCAAATACTGTAAAACTTGGAGCTAATGGGAATAAATGATAATGTGGGGAATGCTGAGTAATTCATACAGATAAATTGTCCTATAGAGAAAAAGGTGTGTGTAACCTTGTACATTGAAAGCATTGCAATAAACCTATTTGCTTTTACAGGCTGATTTAATGGCTGTCCTGGAAGAGGTTTTGAAATTACAAATTCTCTCTGTAGTAATTTAACCATCCCTATATAATACCGGTTCTTTCCCCATTCTTACCCTTTAATAGTAGCGAAACAGGAACAATTTTATTTCTGTATCTTGCCATCCACATAACTTTCTTTAACTTTTCAAGGCAATGCTGAATCTTTTGCTCGGAACTCCTATTACAGAGGATCACTGACACAGCGAAATCCAAATGGAAGAAACAGAAAAGCAGATCACATCTTTGCGGCAAGTATTCAGAACTTACTTCATTGCCTTCATCCCGGTGGCGGCAGCAGACAAGGAGAGGAGTTCATGACAAATCTAATTGCCTTGAATTGCTAAATTCCAGTAGAAGGCAACTGTTTTTTGCACTGATTGCAGAATAAAAATATGTGGTCATTTCTAAATAGGAGGCTGCTATTAATATGAAAACATGCAAATTAGATAGGATCCAGAATCAGACAAAGTGGAATAACAGCCAATGGCAGTATAGCAAGCTTTTGCATCAGGGTAATCATATGATATTATGTCATTGGATAATTGCCAGCTGTTTTTATACAAGCAGATAAATGCATAAACAATAACTTTATCCATAGGCTGATTTCTTATTTTAAAACTGCAGTATAAAGCTAGCTAGCTAGCTATAGTAGAGCTAGCCCACTTCATTGGCAATTCCGCATCATGGGGTGTCCATGTAAAGGATAGCCAGTTTGGTCTAGTGGTTAAGGCACCAGGCTAGAAACCAGGAGACTGAGAATTCTAGTCCTGGCTGGGTGACTTTGGGCCAGTCCCTCTTTCTCAGTCCAACTCACCTCACAAGGTTGTTGCTGTGGGGAAAACACAAGGAGGAAGGAGCATTAGGTATGTTCGCCACCTTGAGTTATTTATAAAAATAATAAAGGCGGGATTAAAAAAAATCTAAAAAAAAAAATAGAAAACTCCACAGGATCTTTTCTTCTTTCAGCCATGGCCCTAAGCAAGAGGCTGTTCTCTCAACCACAAAAATATTGATTTCTGCTCCTGCCTTTGCTGCTCCTGCTTCTCTGTGGCAGCATATTGTTGTTAAGTCTTGGTTTGCACCAGGGAGCACTCTTATTTTTAAAAGATTAAAGAAGTTGGAATCATATCATATCATATATCATATCATATTATATATCCATTTCCAACCATATCAAAAAGCTTACCCTTCAGTAGGGCTACATAGTTCCCACCTGAAACTATAAACATGACAAACCATAACAAAAGCAGTTGGCTCTGGATTCTCTGGATGAGGTAGGAGTGCACTGGTTTGGGGCGTGTACCAACTGGCTTTTGGAATAAATGAGTGAATTAGTCTTAGTCCTTGAGAAAAAGGCTGGATTGGAAGTAGTCTTGGAATTATAATCCAAAATAATGACCCCATATCTTTCTGTTGTCTTTCATTATTGATTAACATTTCTAAAATGTTACAGTTGGGACAACCACTATCAGAGAAGGATTAATTCCTGCTGATAAATGCATTTGTTTCATCTTACCCTAATGTGTTTTCCTTCCAACATAATACATGTCTGAGTATATATGTAAGTGTAAGATTCTCTGAAGTCATCTTTTTTTCCCTATCGTTACTCTTGCAGTTCTTTGGAATATCTTAGGGGCCAGCAGCAATCATGTCTTTTTTCCAAGAGGCGTCTGCAGCTAGAAATGGTTAGCCTCACTCTTTTTGGTTTCATGACATCATTTTGCATTGTTCTGAAGCCAGTCGAAAGGAGGGCAGCAATTGCTATGAGCCATAGGAGCATCTAGGAGCATTTATGCCCAATCTGCGCCCAAACCCCAAACATTTAACTCCATGAATGGCATGGGGAAAATGGGTGAACAATCTCAGTCCAGAAATCTTTATGTGTGATATTACTTACTGATTCCTAAAGGCTCACGCTGGTGTTTTGATATTTTACAGAAGCCTGTGATGACCCATTGGTCTTGAAAACAGTGGACTCCTAAGACCAATACTGCAAAACCTTGCTCAAGGTTTCATTTCTGTTGCTTTTCTCCCTTCTACCTATCTACTTGTTTCACGAAAGAAGGAAAAGGAACGAATTACATTTGAAAAGAATTCTCTGAGCAAGAATCCTATGGAATTTGGGCTCTTCTAGCAGAGCAGCAGGTCTCAACTTATGCCATGGAATCCCTTCCTCAGGACTTTCTCAACTCCTTCCTTAGTTACCAATTCACATATTAAACAGAACTTTGGCTCCAACATTTTTCTTTCTTATCCACTCCTTAAAATATGTCTATATGGCCAAGTGGATTAAAGACATGTTTTCCAGGCCACTAAGCCCATGGTTTAGCTTTATTGGTCCCATGTATACATCTTTTAGTTTCAGTGCTTGGAACTGTCCAGGATTCATGTTATACTGCTGTTACTAAATGATTGTGTGGTAAGAAGAAGGATTTGACTGTTTAGTTTTTGATGCTGAAAAATCAATACTTCCTGCAGGTAGCTTGCACTCTTTTAATTAAATCTTCATGTTCTGATTGCAAAAAAAGATTCAGTAACACTTTTAAAGACTAATTCATTAGCATAATAAATGTATAGAATGAATTTTCTCTAGTGCAACTAATTCTGTTTACCCACTGGATTATAATCCCTGGAGATTTATGCACAGTAACTATAGACTTCCCTCATTTATGCTAGGGTTATGTTTCCCCAAAACCTTGCATAAAGGGATTTGGGCAGGAAGAAGATTTAGGATGTTTCCAGACAAGCTGGCACAAATTACATAATAGTATTTTTCCCCCCGCATGAAGTTGAGTACTTGGACAAAAATGATCAATCGCAAATTTGCATAAAGTGAGAGAAACTTGTATGTTAAGGGCTTTAAGGTTCACAAAACTTTTATTTCTTTCATTACTCCAAAATAATCTGGTATCATTCTGGAATACATTCTGTTAGCTCTTTTAGGTTAGCTAGTTATACAAATGTGGTATATGATGTACAGAGATGGCATATGAAGAATTTTCTTCTCATCAATCCAAGAGGTCTTCCAAAAAGTAGCAAAGACTGTAGATGGTTCTTGTTAAAAAAAATAATCTGTGCTGTAAACCTGGAAGGTCATTGTCAGTCCAAGTAGATAATATTACCATGTAGTGTGACAACCTTTTTCTTCTACTCCTATGCAGGATAATAAAAAGTTATGGGCTGTTAATTATCTCATTTTATAGTTTTACCTCTCTCCCCCCCAAAAAACATATAATGAAGCAAATCAGTTGTTGCATTTTATTCAGTTGAACATATGTTTAATTTTAAATCAAAATGTTTTTTTAAATAAGGTTTTTGGATCTCTAGCCAAATCTAAACTCTACTATAAATCTAGAATTATGTTTTCAAACTCTGACAATTGAATTTCTATGCTAGTTGTGTGTGCCAGATATTTGTTGTGGTGTGCCTCACATATAATTTCAGAGATTGCATCAGGTTTGGGCACAGACTTTCATAAAATTAAGATATTGCTGAATACTTTGAAATGAAGAGCCCTGTTGGAGATAATGACCTATATATCAAGCAGCCAATGAAACTGACATCATGACTGCTGTGCTCTTGGGCATTTGTTTTCAGGGCAAAAAAGCAGTGCTTAGGCCACTTCTACCACAACTGGCTAAGTGACTTTATTCCAACATGACCAGGTGGTGTCATCTTGACCCTAATATAATCATATCCAAGATTTATCTGCAATGTATTTATTTAGGGCTGTGCAGTGCTTCAAATGTGATTCCCAAAAGGTATTTTGGAGCACATGGGAGTGCAAATGCAGCAAGTTTCTGCAACTAGCAGAAACTCACATCTTTTTCTTCGGTCACACGGCTACTTTGAACCGTTCCAGAGAGGTGCTGTGTTTATGCCTTTGTGCAATGCAACCTTTTTGAAATCAAATCTAAAGTGTGGACAGCCCTGATATTTATGTCTTTGGCAATCAGTTACAGTCCATGTGTACCCGTTTTCTTTTTTCTTTTTATCAAAACTTTTATTAAGATATATAAAAAGTACAATTAAAATACAAATCAGAAAGTATAGAAGAGAGAGAAGATAGAACTAAAAGAAAAAGACAAAAACTAAAAGAGTGAAATCAAGTAGAAAGATGAAACAGAAAGTGACTTCTGACTATCTCCAATACAAACATGAGTACAAATTTAAAAAAAAAAAATCTTTTACTACTATTTAATCCCAATTCACATTATTTCTATCAGCACAAACCATCTAATCATTAAATCCCACAATCAAAGCTTCGTTTTTTCCCAACCTAAGCACGTAATCTAGGATGGGTTGCCGTGTACTCATTTTCTCACATAGCTAAAGATACACAAAGGAACTGAAAGTGTGTGCTCCTATATCTGTTTCTCTGATTTATGTTTTTCCCAAGTTGTAGAAAGAATCTTAAATTCAAGCCAAAATTCTTAGTTTTAATGCTAATATATCTTTGCTGAATTATTTGCAGTAAATAACCAAATTAGAAGGCATTTTCCAGTTACAGCTGTGACTTTTCAGTATCCTGAACTTTTAATGCCTCCTGTGAGCTCTCTTTCATTACTAGGTTCTCATCAACCATTATGTGTCCAGATCTCTTCCAGTTAATATAAATTAATTTCATTAATGCAATCAGGAAGAGAAGTCTGTGTTATATGTAGTTTCATTATTCTTTCTTAAGGGCTATGTTATCTCAGATAAAGCAATTTTGGGACAATGTAATCGAGTGGGAGTGGATTCTGGATAACTTTTTGGAAGAAAAGACACCCACACCCTACATCCATACACGTTGACAGAACTTCATTCTAAAGCAATCGTAGCTACTAGGACCCTTTGCAAAAAGAATCGGGTAACCCCACCTAATGCACCCATTTTGCCCTAAAGCAGACATTATACTGATTCTGTACATCTTACACGTCAGCTTTTATTTTGATTCAGAAATATAACCAGGTATGCTGCATTATAAATAAATAAATGATGTTTATGTTCCCCACAGCAAAATGTTCTGTTTTCCTTCCTCGCTTTGAGGGAGATGGGCTTTTCTACCACTCTGATTGTCTGATTAACCAGTTAAAGCCTTGAGATCAGTTCTGCCTCAGGTCCACTTCTTTGGGATGTGGAAAGCCGAGCCAATTAGCTCTCTGCTCAGCTCCTGAACCAGAGCAAACATTACAAAGCTTTTCCAACATTTTCTCTGGAGCTGAGGGCAGATTTCCCATGGAGGTGGGGCGGAATTCCTGCCTCCAAGATCTCGGTATTTCCTCCCTCCTACCATGTGGACCTTGTCATCATCACCCCATTCCCCAAGAGGGAGGTGTGTTGCTGCTTTCCTACAGAGTAGTGGATGTGGGCAGCTGAAGGAGGGGGAGGTTGCTGAACCCTGTGAAAATCTAATGCCTGGGAAGCAGTAAAGCCCACAGCCCTGTGGAAAGGTCCTTAACCAGAAAAGAAAGTAAGATTGTGACCAAATGGAGATGATTAAAATATAGAAATACATCATTTACTAGATGTTCATCCATTTCATGACAAGTTCAATGAGAACACTGAAGGAGACCATTTCAAAGAAGTTTAGATAATTTCCAAAATGAAGTGGCTCTTAGTAGAAGCCCCTCAAAGTGAAGATAATATTTCTGGAGTTTTCTGATTTGCTTTGGAGAGTGATTGGTTTCATTATTGCTTGTACTTAACATTATTGTGAACCTCTCATTGGGAAACTTCATAGAAAGAAAATACCAGGTAGGAGGGATAAGAGGCTGTTTTGTGATAGCCCTAGCTTCCCACAAGAAATGACATTAAAACAGCTCTCCGGGATCTTCCAAATCTAATGATTTATAGAGATGTAGAAAGGCAGAAACAGAGAAGTTTGTGTAATGAATTCTCGCCTGCAGAGCTGTGGACTGCTTTTCATCCTACATAACTTTCTGATCACAGTACTTATCCTTCCAAAAATTTGCAGATGCTCACTAAAGTCATGTTTCCTTCACTGCTTTATTAACGCTAATTGCTCAAAAATCCCACAGAAAGGACAGGATGTCTTTCTTTTTCTTTTAAGAAAAAATGCCCAATTCTAAATATCCAAAGCTGTAAAGCTCTGCTTTAATCACTTTGGCTCACTGGGCAATGTCCTATTCTGAAGTGGATGCTGAATCATTGTTAAATTCCCAAGACTGGATAATGGCATTTTCAGACTACTTTATTCCTATTGCTTAAACTGATAAATGGAATAAGGCAAACTTAGGGTCAAAGGTGGTGAAGGACTTCCTGAATACCAAAAAGGCAGTGCTTAGTTGCTGATGATTAATCAAGTGAATCTGAATGGGTCCATGCACACTGGTCACATCCTTTCAACTCTGTTTCCAGCAAGTCAGAGGTTTCTACTTGCATTTCCTTGAGTTCTTGTGGAATCCTTGCATGGTCAGGACTCTTAAAATCAGACAGACTGCACACTTGCATACTGTCTCTCCCACTCAGCTCGGCAAGGCTGCATTCAGGAAGGACAAGGCTCAAAATACTATGGGGCAGAACCATTTTTCATGGTGGTGTACTTTTGTGATACTTTGTTGGAGCATAGTGGCTAAACAAAGCTCTAGTACAACAGTGAAAAGAGCTGAGACCCTAATGTATGTTTGTTTATTTATTTACCCAGACTTACATGTTGCTCAACTAAAGTTTTTGGTATCTCTCATCAATGACTAGGTTTATCTGCAGGATCACAGGTTCCTTAACCCCAGGACAGAGAATTCTGGATCAGTAGTCTATTTCCTAATGAGATATCTTTGTATATTCAGTTTAAGTTTCTTAAACACATATTGGTTAGTTGAGTTGCAAATTCATATACATTGGAACTGCAGTAACTGGATCAGGAAAAACTACAAGATTTCTGTACTACAGCAGTTTTGACATAGTGATAAATCAAGTCCAGGCATATGCAATGCCACCTTTTCTCCAGTGTTTTTATTTACAATGGCCCTACGTTACATATACTATGTGATTTACAAGGCAGTTTGCCCAACACAAATCGGCGAACCATAAAAGTGATCAGGAATTTCACTGGAAGATCCCAACCCACAGCTCTAGCACCTCATTACAGAAGGTCCTCTGTAAGGGAATCCATAAGATGATGAGTAGTTGTCCATCTGTTTTTTGCATATTTACAAGTAGTTGGCTGCCATGATAATAGGATCACTGACAAACTAGCCTTTTATATTTTTTTAATTGAAGTGGGTTTTTTTCCCCATATAGTATGCTGGTATGAAACACAAACACTGGAAACTGAGCTGTAATATTTATATCTTTTATGGTATGGAAAACCCAGCATACCCATACATTTACAGTTATGCACATACAGTACTGTGCAAAAGTTTTAGGCAGGTGTGAAAAAATACTGTAAAGTAAGAATGC